GAGGCTGTAAATCTTTATGGGGGCGGAAAGCCTCCTCTTTCTCCTGGGGAACCACTGGTAGTTTAAAACTGCTGACATTGTGGTTCGCAGCCTGACTCGTAACCACTACGCTATCAGAGCTCCTTCCCTTTTGCTGGGATGCCGTGTCTGCAATCCACCAGCTCCGTCCTGTTTATGCCCAGTTGTTCCGGGAGCTGTGCCTTGAAGGGTGTGTTCTTTTATGGCAGTCTGCGGTTTCCTCCTGGCAGTAACCCAGTCTAGCACCTGCTACAGGTTAGGGAACTGGTGCTCCCCATTGTTAGTGGCAGCAGTGGTTGTCACTGAGTCAGCCGTGACTCACAATGATCCCACAGGTGCACTTGGCAGCATTGTTGTTGTTGTCAGGTGCCATCGAGTCGGAACCGACTCATAGCGACCCAATGCACAGCAGAACGAAACAATGTCCGATCCTGGGCCAACCTCACTACCGCTGCCACACTTGATGCCATCAATGATGCCACCTGGCCAGTCCATCTCGTTGGGGGTCTTCCTCTTTTTCTCCAATCCTCCATCTTACTAATCATGATATCCTTCTCCAGCGACTGTTCCCTTCTAACAATATTTCCTAATCATGATATCCTTCTCCAGCGACTGTTCCCTTCTGACAATATTTCCAAAGTATGAGAGACAAAGTTTAGCCATCTTGCTCTCTAAGGAGCACTCTGGCTGCACTTCTTCCAAAACAGAGCTATTGGTTCTTTTGGCAGTCCATGGCACTTTTAGTATTCTCCTCCAACACCACAACTCAAAGTCATCAATTCTTCTACGATCTTCCTTATTCACTGTCCAGCTTTTACACCCATATGAGGTTATTGAAAATACCATGGCTTGGGTCAGGCGCACCTTAGTCCTCAAACTGATATCTTTGCTCTTCAACACTTTAAAAAGTTCCTGTGCAGCAGATTTGCCTAATGCAATACGTCGTCTGATCTCTTGTCTGCTGCTTCCAGGAGTGTTGATAGTTGATCCAAGAAGAATGAAGTCCTTGACAACTTCAGTCTTTTCTCCGTTGATAAGAATGTTATTTATTGGTCCAGTGGTGAGGATTTTTGTTTACTTTACATTGAGATGTAATCCATACCAAAGGCTGTGCTCTTTGATCTTCATCAGTAAATGTTTCAAGTCCTCTTCACTTTGAGCAAGCAAGGTTGTATCATCTGCATATCGCAGGCTGTTAATGAGTCTTCCTCCAATCCTGACGCCACGTTTTTCTTCATAGAACCCAGCTTCTCGTATTATTTGCTCAGCATGCAGGTTGAATAAGTATGGTGAAAGAACCCAACCTTGTCGCACACCTTTCTCAATTTTAAAACATTCAGTGTTCCATGCTCTGTTCGAACAACTGCTTCTTGGTCCAGGTACAGATTCCTCAGAAGTACAATTAATTGTTCTGGAATACTCATACTTTGCAATGTTGTCCATAGCTTCTCATGATCCACACCATCAAAAGCCTTTGTGTAGTCAATAAAGCATAGGTAAACATTCTTCTGGTATTCTCTGCTTTCAGCCAAGGTCCATCGGACATCACCAATGATATCTCTTCTTCCACAGCCTCTTGTGAATCCAGCTTGAACCTCTGGAAGTTCTCTGTCGATGTATGATTGTAGCCGTTTCTGTATTACCTTTAGCAAAACTTTACTCGCTTGAGATATCAAAGAGATTATCCAATGATTTCTGCATTCCGTTGGGTCACCTCTCTTTGGAATGAACACAAATATGGATCTCTTCCAATCAGTTGGCCAGATAGTTATCTTCTAAATTTCTTGGCAGAGGTGAGTGAGTGCCTCCTGTGCTGCCTCACTTTCTTGAAAGATTTCAATTTTTATTCCATCAATTCCTGGTGCCTTGTTCTTTGCCAATTCCTTCAATGCACTTTGGACTTCCTACCTGAGTATCATTGGCTCTTGATCATATGGTACCTCTTGAATTGATTGAACATTAACCATTTCCTTTTGGTACAATGACTCTATGTATTCCTTCCATCATTTTTTGATGCATTCTGCATCATTCAATAATTGGTGCCCAGAGAATCTTTCAATAACAAAAGTCGAGGCTTGAATTATTTCTTCAGTTCCCCCAGCTTGAGAAATGCTGACTGTGTTCTTCCTTTTTGGTTTTCTGATTCCAAATCTTTGAATATTTTATTAATAGTATTTGGCTTTATCTTCTCAAGCTGATCTTTGAAATTCTCTGTTCAGCTCTTGGACCTCCTCAATTCTTCCATTTACTTTAGCATCTCTATGCTGGAGAGCAAGTTTCAGAGTCTCTTCTGACATCCATTTTGACCTTTTCTTTCTTTCTTGTCTTTTTAATGACCTTTTGCTTTCTTCACGTATGATGTTCTTGATGTCATCCCACAACTCTTCTGGTCTTCGGTCTTTAGTGTTTAATGTATCAAATCTGTTCTTCAGATGATCTCAGCATTCAGGTAGTATAAATTCAAGGTCATATTTTGGCTCTCGTGGACTTGTTTTCATTTTCTTCAGCTTCAGTTTGAATTTGCATATGAGTAATTGATGGTCTGTTCCACAGTCTGCCCCTGGCCTTGTTTTCACTGATGATATGGAGCTTTTCCATCTTCTCTTTCCACAGATGTAGTCAATTTGATTTCTATGTGTTCCATCTGGCAAGGTCCATGTGTATAATTATCTGTTATGCTGTCTGAAGAATGTATTTGAAATAAATCATGGTTTTGCAGAAATCTATCATTCGTTCTCCAGCATCATTTCTATCACCAAGGCCATATTTTCCAACTATTGGTCCCTCCTCTTTGCTCACAACCTTTGCATTCCAATCACCAATAATGAGCAATACAGCTTGATTGTATGTTTGATTGATTTCAGATTGAAGAAGTTGGTATTTCATCTTCTACTTCATCTTCACTGGCTTTAGTTGTTGGTGCATAAATTTGAATAATAGTGGTATTAACTGGGCTTCCCTGTAGGCGCATGGATATTATCCTATTACTTACAGCATTGTACTTCATGACTGATCTGGATATGTTCTTTTTGACGACGAATGCAACACCATTCCTTTCCAATTTGTCATTCCCTGCATAGTAAATCATGTGGTTGTCAGATTCAAAATGGCCAATACCAGTCCATTTCAGCTCACTAATGCCTAAGAGATCGATGTTGATGCGTTCCATTTCATTTTTGACAACTTCCAATCTTCCCAGATTCATACTTCGTGCAATTCCATGTTCCAGTTTTTAGTGGATGTTTACAGCTCTTTCTCTTCATTTTGAGTTGTGGCCCATCCAGCAGATAAAAGTTCTCTGGGCTTTTTTCTCCCCCGAGCTTAACTGTCTTCACGTTATCATGGTCAGCTTTACTTTGAGGAAGCATCTCTTCCCCAGTAGCATTTTGAGCGCCTTCCTACCTGAGGGGCTCATTTTCCAGCCCTGTATCTGACAGTGTTTCTCTGCTGTTCATAAGGTTTTCAGTGACTAGCGATTCGGAAGTAGTTCGTCACTCTTTCTTCCTAGTCTGTCTTTGTCTGGAAGCTCATCTGAAACCTGTCCACCATGGGTGACCCTGCCGGTTATTTAAAATAACGGTGGCAGAGCCCTTAGAATCACAGCAACTCAAGTCACCACAGCACGACAGACAGACGAATGGTGGCTGTTTGGTTTTATGTCGAAACAGTCACTTTAAATTTCTATATCAATCCTGATACAATCAAGATGTATCTTACAGTTAATACGAGGGCACTTCAAAGGTGAGTGGGAAACAAGTTGGAAGACGTTGGCATTTCCCCACGTGCTCTCTGAAGCCTTCCTATAACAACAGAACACTGGCCTGGCCCTGTCCCATCATCGTGGTCCTTGGTGTGCAGTTATTGTGCCCTTTCCTGTCTCTCAGATGCGACAGTGGTGCCGTAACAGAAACACAGTCTCTCACAGCTTAGGGCCCTGGAAGCCTGCCTCAGTGCCATCTCTGGGGAAAGGGCCTTGTCATCCATCTGCCCCTGGGCTGAGTGGCTTCACAGCACAGGGCCCCCAAGTCCAAACACCGCGCTCCACTCCTGGCTGTTGGTTCTCAGTGATAGTAGGTCCCCTGTGACCTCTGCTGACCTGGCCCATCTCTTATATCTCAGCAGAGATGGATATAGGGCAGCCTGAACCTCTATGTCGCTACATCATTAACTTCATGCTGTTGTTCTGACTCACCACGACCCTGTTTCCGAGGAGTGGGTGGGTATTTTCAACACACAGGACAGTTGCATCCGATCACAGAGTGAAAGACAGTGACTTCATACTGAGAATCATGCCCTCTTGAAGGTATAAATTTTGGGACACGATTCAGTGTGTAACAGAGTCTTCCTTCGTTTCCCTGGGCCTTGCCTTTACTAGTCAGGATGTCCTCTTCTGCTGCTTGGTCTTTTCTGATGACGCACCCCATTCATTGCAGAACAGGGGTGTTAGAGGAGACTGAAACAGTCCATTGATGGTCCTGCTGCATGCCCCTCTTTGGAAAAAGGAATTTTACAACAACGACTCTTAGGTCTTTGGAAACAGTCTAGGTTGCCGTCGGTGTTGAAATTCACACAGTGGACCGGATTACTGTTGTCGGGGTGACTGACAGTGCCGTATGAGGACACTGGGGACCGCTCAGTGGGGGCTTTCGGGGTTCGTCTCCCCTCCCTCTCTGCCTCGGTGTGTCCAGCACAAGGGAAGGCAGCGCCCTGACTTTGAAAGTCCGTCTCCACTTGTTCTGTGTCCTGTTTGTGTGTCGCCCTTGTGTTTGATGCTGCAGTGATGGTGTAGATGAGTGGTCTCTGCCGCGTCCCCCGTCACTGAGGGTCACTCCTCGGGCTCGGTCAGTAATGCTTGTCACAGACGAGAATTGTGGTGAACATTTCTGGGCTTTGCTGAGAGGGTTTCAGGATGACTCCACGCTGGTGCATGTGTGTGCACAGTTCGAGTCCCCAGTGTATCCCTTGTCGGTGTCCTTTCACAGGAACTTATCAGCTCCCTGCCTAACATAGTCAACGACAAATACGGAAGGAAGGTCCTGCTGTACTTGCTGAGCCCTAGAGATCCCGCACACACGGTCCGAGAGATCATCGAGGTTCTGCAGAGAGGAGATGGGAATGCACACAGGTGAGTGCAGGTGGCGGCCCAGACACCCACTGTCTGCCTCTGTCTCCTCGCTCCCTCCTGGCCCTCCTCCTATCAGATATGTATAGCAGATTCTTAAAGTGTTTTCCATGAGGAACTAGAATGGCATTGTGACGGAGGCGCCCCCGAGGGTCTGGCACTTCCCAGGGGTCATCAGGAGGTCCCTGGGGAAATCCCTTTGTCTTTTCATTCCGATTTCCCACGAACTTTCTGAAGTCAGCTCATACTTGCACAGTTCTGTAGGGTAAGCACTGGTTGGCAGTTTGGGCCTACCAGCTACTCCAAGGGATAAAGGGTGAGGCTTTCTGCTCCCTCTATGCAAAGTGGAAGAATTATACCTTGGAAAAATCATACTCTATGCAGGGTCTCAATAAATCGGAATCGACTTGTCAGCCCTTAACCACAGTGTACTTGGTTCCCTTGTTGTTTTGCTTTATTTAAGTGACCACTAACAACAAACCCACTGTTATTGGTGACTCACAGCGACCTGCTAGGACAAAGGAGGACTGCCCGTCAGGCTTCCCAGGCTGTGATCGGTACAGAAGCAGACTGCCTCAGCTCTGTCCCCCAGTCCCCCAGAGCAGAGGTCACACGATGTTCTGACCTCTGTTGGGTTGGGTTGGTGTTGTGGAAGGCCGGCGTCTCCGATTGGATGCTCTGCGCCCGGCACTATCCAGTCCAAAGAACACAAAGGTGGAAGGCAGGTCTCCCTCAAATCGCTGCTCGTATTTGTGACCTACAGAGAAGCAGAATGTGGTACCGACTGTGACCGATTCGTAGACATTTGTATGAAGACAAGCCCATTACCCTCTTAAAAGTCGATAATTCCAACTGAGAGCCTAGAGAAGCCGCCAGGCCCTAGGGTTTCCGAGGCTGTCAATCTCTACAGACATAGTTACGTCTGTTTTCCAAGGAGCTGCTTGTGTTTGAACCTTGGACCATTTGGTTCCCAGCCGAGCACTTAACCCACTGTGCCACTACCATAATGTTAGGACCTTCAGGCCAGTTCCAACTCATAGGAACCCTGTATATGGTTTGAACCGTCGACCTTGAGGCTCGCAGTCCAGTACTTATCCTCTGTGATAGTAAGCCCTCCCTGTCCCCTCTGCCGTGAGTCTAGCCTCAGTGTCACGCTCTCCCTGTCCCCACAGTAAGAAAGACACTCAGACCCGCCGGCGGGAGCTCCTGGAGGCCATCTCCCCGCCTCTGTTAAGTCACCTGCAGGGACATACCCAGGAGATGGTGCTAGACAAATCCACATGTGTGCTGGTGACCAACATCCTGGGCTCCGTCCTGGGAGACGTCCAGCCCGCCATGGCGGCCATCGCCAGCCTGGCCACCGGAGAGCTACGTCCCGGGGGCCAAGATGGAGAGGTAAGATCCCCGAGCGGGCGAGCCTGCCGTGGTGTCGGCACCTGACCTGCACAGTCTCACTCTGTCCCCCCCTCCTCCGCAATGGACCCTCAGCTGGTTTTCCAGCACGTCTTCCTCTCGGTTCCTAACTCCAGTTTGCGTCTCCTAGACTCTGGCACTTTCTGCGTCTGCCCAGCCGTCTTCCCTGGGCCTCAGTGCCATCCATGTTACCATGTCCCTGGGACCTGCCCGTAAGGAGCTGTACTCTGACTTCCAGAATCCTCTACAAAACTACCCCTAATGTCACCTGACTCAAAAGGATTTCTCCTCCTGGTGGCTTCTGCCCATGTTGTTTGGGATTCCTTCTAGCATCCCGAGTTTGCTGATTGGTTTCCTCCCCCTGCCCCAACTCTGCTCCAGCCCCAAAGGGCCAACTTTTGGAGGATGCAGCATTTACATAAATCTACACAAGAACTCAGTCTATTCGGGTGGAGAGGAGCCATCTGAAGGGAACTAGAGGCTCTGAAACTTCTCATGGCACCTGGAAGGCTCCACGGTGCAATAATGACCCACCTGGGCCCCAGAGACTAGAGCAAGGAGAGCCTGTGGCTGCCCTGAGGTGCAGAAGCTGACCTCTCCTGAGAAGAGTAGTGGGGGCGATGGCGTTCATTGAGCAAAGGAGAAGGGGGCAGTGGGGCCAGGGGTCAGCTCCCTTGGAGCCTGGTTCCCTGCTCGGTTATAACACCAGCTTGCGCGCAGCCAGGACCCCTGCTTGGTTATAGCGCTAGCTCCCACAGAGCCAGGACCCCTGCTTGGTTATAGCACCAGCTCCCACAGAGCCGGGACCCCTGCTTGGTTATAGCGCCGGCTCCCACAGAGCCGGGACCCTTGCTTGGTTATAGCACCGGCTCCCATAGAGCTGGGACCCCTGCTTGGTTATAGTGCCAGCTCCCGTGGAGCCGGCTGCCCTGCTGGGTTACAGGCTCCACAGTTGGGCAGGAGGTATTGCCCAGGCCCCTGCTGGCCCTCTGCTGGCTCACTCCTCACCTCCTGAAATCTCTTCCTTATTGTCCCCATTACTGCCTCCAGGGACAAGAAAACATTTTGTACCTAATGTTTCTCATTCAGTCCTCAAAGAGGTAGTAGATCCCTACCAAGGTGTTCAAAGGTCAGGAGCACCCACATGTGTCCTAGGGTGAGAGGTGGAGTCCCTGCCCTTAGGACTCTGGGAACCACTCAGTGGGCAGACGCAGACTCCACAGCAGTGACCTGGGTCCAGGCTATGGCCGGAGCAGTGTGAGATCGCCAGCCAACTCCTTGTGGGCTGAGAAATTGTGGGGGAAACCCTGGGCTGCAGATGATAGGATTCCTGATGACCCCAGGGCGGCTAGGTTGTTGTGTTCTGGTCACCTGCTCTGACATCACATCACTGCATCAGGGTGCCAGCCAGGTGGGCATTGGCTGTAACAGAAACACGCTGCGCATGTTGCATGTGGGCTCCGGGACCAGAGTCTGGCAGAAGCCTTGTGTACTGGGACCACTGAAACTTCCAGATGTGTCTCCTGCGGTTGCTGAGTTATTTGTGTTGTAAAGTGCTTTCCGGTCGGTTCTGGCTCAGTGACCTAGTATAGCTTCTGAGCAGTGGCTGATGGGTTTGAACTGCCAGCTTGGTGGTTCAAACCAATTTGTGGTCTTATGCATTATCCCACTCACCACACCAGGACTCTGGTTGGTGAGGGCCCTTTGGAAACGACCAAAAGATGCAGTAGAAGGAGGGGAGGGCAGTTGGGTAGGGCGTGGACCCAAGAACCTCGTCCACAGGTACAAGTTGTTGTTGTTGTTGTTGTTAAGTGCCGTCGAGTCAGTTCCGACCCATAGCGACCCTGTACAGGGTTTCCGAGGGTGTAAATCTTTACGGGAGTAGAAAGCCTTATCTTTCTCCCGCGGAGCGGCTGGTAGTTTCGAACCGCTGACCTTAAGGTTCGCAGCCTGAGTCGTAACCACTATGCTACCAGAGCTCCAAGTAGCAGGTACCATATGACACATTTGAACCCTGATGGTTACAATTGAAGTCGAGGGCACGTGGCCACAGCCCGTTGCTCAGAGAGGCTTTGTGCAGCCTTGCATATGATCAGACAAGAATCGGCATGGGGTGGCCCACCCGTGGTGGCCCTGTATCAGGAAAGGCCGGGGTCTCAGGTATCAGTCAGAGGCTGGTGTGGGGAGAGGGTTCCCTGCGGCTCCTGTGGTGGGCACCGTGGGGTGCAGCAGAAAAGGTGCTTCTTGGCTTGCTGGACACATGGCACCCCTGTCCCGTGGTCACACCTTGTGGCTGGAGCAGTGTAGCAGCCCCATGGCGCGAGACGAACTGGCCCCGCCCCCAACTGCTCCTGCCAGGTGCGGTGGTCCTTGAGTCTGAGACCCACCGGAACCTGCCGGACCCTCAGCCATGACCAGGTCCCTTTTTGTTCGCGGTGGTGGCACCAGGTCACGGGGAGCAGGTTTTCGGTTCAGATGCTATTTGACCTTCATATGCTGTTGTTACAGCTGCACCTGGCGGAGCACCCTGCCGGCCATCTGGTTCTGAAGTGGCTCATAGAGCAAGATGGGAAGATGAAGGCCAGCGGAAGAGAAGGTAGGCTGGGAGCTGGCGAGGCCTCTCGGTGTATGGGATGTGGGACTTCATCGCTCCTGGCTTCCCACTCAGGCTCGGGTGCAAGTTTCTCCTGTGTGTAGAAATGATGTCTGGGATTAAGAAGTATTTCCATTGTAACAAATGGTACTTTCCCCAGCAGTGGGTGCCCTGGAACTCTGGCATCTTCTTCCTTCCTCCCTCCCACATAGTCCCCCTCTGCTGCTTCAGACTCTGGTTTCCAGGGCAGGGTCTCAGTGCCCGGTGAACCCAGTATCTGTGGCAGGTGCCAGGAAAGACTGGCCAGCCAGTGCTTTCTTCCCTGGCTTCCCAGAGACTGTCAAGGCTGAATACTTTATTAGTTGGTTAGAAATTCTCTTTCTCCCTCATTGAAGGAAGCTAATTTCTGAGTGTGCCTTTGACTGAAATACACATTCTACTTAAGATTGTGAAGCCCCTGCCTCCATCGGCATGAAACCCTGGCCTTCAGAGCTCTTCTTGTCCAAGGATTACTTGCACTTAGATGACACATTGAATGACAGAAGAGACAAGTCCCTAGGCGTCGGAGATACAAGCAGTCCCCGACACGAGTTCAAGCTACAATGAACCCGACTCATGACCATCTGGGGTTTTGTGTGTGTGCACTTTGTTTTACACGTTTTATCGTTAGTAATATGTATTACGTACAGCGTTGCAGCGTTTCATTTGCTGCTGTTATTTCAGATGTTCCCTCACAGATGTTGGTTGGATGTTACGGTTTATGAAGACAATAAAAGTCAATACCTAATGAAAACTAAATGGGCTTTTGTCAGCTGACAATGGAATGACCATAGAATACCAGAACTATAATAACACAAAGGCGTTAACAGCATTGTAGAGAGAAAATACCAGGGGCAAGCCACCCTGGTCAGTGTGTGGCCACTGGTTGTGTGTATGGCTCCTCATATATGCAGGTGCCCCTGAGGGAAAGCTCCTCATAGCTGAGTGGGTGCCCCATAAGGAGGAGTTCCCGTTTCACCAAACACTCACTTCCAGTCTCGCTTCTTGGGTCGGAGTCTAGTTGTTAGGTGCAGTTTAGTCTGTTCCAACCCAGTATAGAATTTCCTAGGAGCAGCTGGTGAGCTTGAATTTTTGACCTTAAAAATCAAAGTGACTTTGCAGTCCAGCGCATTAACCCGCAACGCCATGCCAGAAATGCCGGTGTGAGGGGCTGGGGCTCTGTAGGGACTCAATCTCCCTCGTGGTGTAGAGCACAGTGGACAGAGATGTCTGTATTCAAGCCCGTGTTTGTTTGGAACTGTTGGGGTGGAAATGGTTGAGATGCCATGTGTTTTGTTATGATTGCTCTCCCCACAATTGTTACAAGTGTGTTATGGGTCATTTGTATTTTATGAGCTGGAGTTTTTAGTGTTTAGAGAGATTGGGTGAGAACTCTGGTTGTTTTGTGTTTTTTATTAATGACAGTTGCAAATAAATGAAGAAAATATCGTTGCAGGGGTGTTTCTTGGTCACTGAGTTGGCATAGACTCTGACAGTGGGCATGGGTTTGGGGTTTCCTCAGATGATCACCGGGCTTGGGTATGTTTTGCAGCGTGTTTTGCGAAAACGCTCGTGGAGCACGTTGGGATGCAGAACCTGAAGTCCTGGGCGAGCGTCAATCGGGGCGCCATTGTTCTTGCCTGGTACGTATCTGGGAACCTGCCTCTGCTTTGGGTCCCCGTCTCAAATGCCCACTCACAGTTCTGCCACCATTCCCAGTATCCCAGAAACCCCCGTGGTCAGCCCAGACGTTGGAGCAGAGACAATGCTTCTCACTCTCCAGCACTGTACCCAGAGTCCTGCTATAGCGCTGCGTGTTAATGCGCTGGACTGCAAGGTTGGTTTGAACTACGAGGTCAGTGGTTCAAGCTCACCAGCTGCTCCTCGGAAGCCTACACAGGGTCACTATGGGTCGGAATCAACTCAACGGCACTTCACAACAACATTATACCCAGCTGCGTCTGCTTCAGACAACAGGGTCATTCATGAAAGCCCAGTACTGACCAGAAGTATCATGGGACTGTATGTACTCTTTTTAGTGAGGACTTCGAGTTTCTTTGAAAATGGTGTCTGTCAGCTGTTTAAATGTTACTGGCTTTACAGTTCATTTTATTTTCAGCAGTTCTAAAAGCACTACCTGTTGTTGTTAAGTGTCGTAGATTTGGGTTCTGACCCATAGCAACCCTGTATAGGGTTTCCAGGGAGCAACTGGTAAACCTGAGCGCAGGTCTCCCAGTTCGAAGTGGACTCTGCAGTCCAGCGCATTGACCCACAGCCCCTCACCAGGACTCCTAGCAGGATGCCAGCAGCCGGTCATTTTTCTGTTCTGGATTCACGTGGCCAGCCATGTGCCGGGTACAGAGCCAGTTTGAACCCCTGGTTGATAATTTACAGATGACTGAAATTCTCATGCACTCTGCCTGGATGGAGTCCTTCTGTCGGGGTTGTTGTTGTTATGTGCCTTGGAGTCGGTTCCAACTCATAGCAACTCTGCACAGGTCTTTACGGGAGCAGAAAGACTCATCTTTCTCCTGCAAAACAGCTGGTAGTTTCAAACTGATGACCTTGTGGTTCATGTGGAATCATGTGGTATTTCAAAGCAATCCCAGTTGATTCTCCCCGTTTTACAGTTTGGAAAACAGATCCAAGCCTTAGTTTGACTTTCCCACAATCTTGCACATGCAACATGCTATGCAACTTACTGTTTATGAAAGTTACATGTTTCTTCAGTATGTTGATTGATCTCACACGTGCTCTGAACTGAAGGCCCCTGTCTTTAGGGTTACCTGTGTCCCCAGGAACATGGCTAATGCAGATCCTCTTGCTCCTTTCTCGTTACAATTCGTTCATTTTCCAGTTGCTGTTAAGCAGTCAGGATCCATTAACTGAAACATGAGTTTTTCTGATACATTTTTTATTGGCACTTACGGTGTTCACACCTACTAATGCATTCTTTCATCAGCTTCAATTAGCTGGAGATCGCAGTGATGCCACCCAGTTAATCAATTGGCTTTGTGGCCAGCGCTCATCAGTCATGTTCCCTGGGTGGATTTCAGTTATGTGAGGAGCATACGGCCTCGGAAGCCCTGCTGGGTGACTGTGAGTCAGAACTGACTCCACGGCATGCCCTGCTCCCACCCCACCCCAGCTGGACTGTGGAGCCTGCTCCCAGCTGGAGTGTTTGTGGTTCTGAAGAGACGTTGGCAGTGTAGATGGCCCGCTGCTGTTGAGTGGACTCTCACAGCGACCCTGTAGGACAAAGTAGAGCAGCTCTGTGCGGTTTCTGGAACTGTAAGTCCTCATGGCATGACGCTGCGGGTTAATGTGCTGGGCCGCAAGCTCAGTTTGAATCACAGGGTTGGCAGTTCAGTCTCCCCAGCCACTCCTTGGAAACCCTATACAGGGTCACTGTGATTCAAAACCGACTTGAATGACAATTCACAACACTAGCAGCTGTGGAGTCCTGGTAGGACTCCAGGTAAGCAGTGAACTGCAAGTGTAGGACTAAAGAGAAGAATCCATTTCATATATAAGCTTTAGCACGTTCTCTAGCTCCAAAAAAATGATATATGTATAAATAGCCAGGCAGCTCAAGGCCAGAGGCCAGATGTTTTCCTTTACCCTAGCCTAAGAACAAAGACCACCAGTCCTGACCAATTAAACTGTAACATCTCATAGTTTGCCAATTGTTAACCAATCCAAAGATTGTAAAGCTGAGAAACCTGAGCTGTTTGAAAACTATAAAAACCCTGCAGACAATAAGTTTGGGGCTCTTTTCCTATTCCGCTGCGTTGGATAAGGTTAGAGACCTGGCTCAAGCTTGAATAAACAACCCTTATGTATTTACATCTGTGACGGCTCCTGGGTGGTCATTGGGGACCCTGAATTCTGGGCATAACACAAGGTCAGGTCGGTGTGAATAGTGAGGTCGGCAATTCAAACTCACCAGCGGCTCCTTAGAAACTCTGTTCCACACTAAACAGATGTTCATGGAGCTGGCAGCCTCGTCTTTCTCCCACAGAGCAGCTGGTGGGTTCCAACTGCTGACCTTTTGGTTAGCGGGTGAGCGTTTAACCACTGTGTCACCAGAGTCCTCCTGCTGTGGGTAGGTGATAGAGTGTGCTCTAGGAAACATAATGGTAATCTGTTGTCCCTTTTCTGCCTCTTCAGCCTCCTCCAGAGCGCTGATCAGGAAGTGGCGCAGAGAGTGAGAGCTGGACTCCAGAGCCTGGTTCCCACGCTGGAGAAGACCAAGCACATGAGCAAGGGAGTGGAGGCACTCCTGGAAAAGCTGATGGCGTAACCACCACAGGGTCAGTGAAGACCAGGGCAGTTCCCACTCTGCTTGGCCTTCCCGGGCCAGGTGCTCTAGACACGTGTCTCTTCTGTGTACAAAAATCTATTTATAAAGGGCTTTCTAAATGGTGTCTTCTCTCTCCTTTAATCCACCCCGTCTCCTGTGTCCGATCTGGTTGGAGGCAGTGATACAGGAGGATTAGTGAGTGTCCAGGGCGCGAACCAACTGCGAATGAAGTGTGGTGGTCGGTTTTCAGGGGAGACGGGGTCTCCCGGGTGCAGTCTGAGAAGGCTGCTTGGAGGAGGTGGCACTGCCCAGCCTCAAAGGGAGAGGAGTCTTAGAGTCTGGCGGGCTGCGGGGTAGGAAACGGGCTGCGTGCCTCAGGGTCTCAGTGAGGGTCAGTGTCCCAGGGAGCGTCCTGTCTGTGCGTCCGGGGCTCTCTCCATGAAAATGGCTCCCAGGGACGGCTCCACAGGCCTGAGTCGGGAGGAGACAGGCGTACGTCTGTGCGAAGCGGGTTGGGTTCCGTGGGGGTCATTTATGCTGTTGGCGGCAGCTGTCAATTCAGCTCCACTCGGGGCTGTCCTGCGCCATCTGCATGGCAGTGTGTTGTTTTGTCTAAGGTTTTGATTTGTTGTGAACTGTTGTCTGGGTGAAAGTTAACAGAGCAGGGTCGTGCTTAGTCAACAGTTGATAGACGTTTTGTTTTCTGACATCGGCTGCAATCCCGTCCATGTAACGGCAATTTTCTTGCTTCCCCCGGGCTCCCTGTGTCCACTTGTCCTCTCCAGCCCCTCCCTGCCTTCTAAGCCTCTGCTTCTGAGTGCGTTGACCTTGGGTCTCTAGAACGGTCACTTGTGGGCTCCAGTCCACTGTTGTAGCCGCTGCATTCTGAGTGTCTTCCAACCAGAGAGGCTCATTGTCCAGCACTGTGTCCGACAGTGTCCTAGTCTAGGAATCCACACAACTTGTTGCATTTGCTCATTTTTAGAGGAAGGTTGCCACTGAAACCTGTCCACCATGGTGCCCCTGCTGGTATGTGAAATGCTGCTGACCCACCTTCCCGCATCGCAGCAACATGCATCCCATGGTGCCACAGAGGTCACAGGTGGCGGTGGAAGTGGACAACAAATGTTTGGGTTTTGAAACTGCAGTTGACTTTTACCAACAAAACTTGTAAGGGTTGATGGACCGGCTGGGCTTGTTGAATATCTAACTGCATTCTATGGGGAACCGTAGTGAAGTTCTGTGCTTACTGATCCTTTCTCTAGTAGCCTGGAGGGACTTAGTAACCTCCCTGACCATACAGGGCCCCAAGGCTGCTCCCAGCTGACCAAGGGTGCACTGCACCTTCCCAGAGGGCAAGAGCTGATGCTTTGCCTCCCTGCCCACCTTCACCCAGCTGGACCTATGGGGGACCAGGTTGAGATAGGTGGTGAACAGAAAAAGGTGAAAAATAAATAACACGTGCTGGTAACATCCACAACACCCTCTGTGAAATGGGATGTTATGTGATTTGGACGTTTTGAAAACACATTTCAAAGCTACGAGGCAGCAACTGAGTCATCTGTGTGGTTGGATGTTGTTGGCGTGGACACAAAGCGTTAACATAAAGTTAGAGTGGTGTGAAGCTTGTCACCATGTAGTGTCCGATCTCTCCTCTCTGCCCACCCCCCGTCCCCAAAGCAAACACCTGCCATTCTTTTAGCTGCGATCTTTGAAGCTATCAACCGAAGCCATTTTCTTTTGACTTTCAAGAAATAGAAGAGTGGAGACCTGCCCCGCCGCCCCCTCTCCCTCCTCCCTATAGAATCGCATCCTTCTTGATCCATGGGGGCCGCCCCCAGTTAAGATGGAATCGGGCAGCGTGTGGACGTGACAGTTTGCATACCGTCAGGCTTTTCCGGAAGCTGGTCATTGCTGCTTTTTCCTTTGCTTGGTTTTTTACATTCTGACGATTCATTCCTCCCCAACTCGTCACTAAAATTACTTAAGCCCCACGGCCACTGCCCACTCCTCGCAGCCTGGTGACATTCCTGCCGTCCCAGTGTCTGCCCCTGGTCATCCAGCTCAGGCCTGTCCAGCCCTCTCCACAGTGCTCTGGTCAGATGTGCTGAGAGTTACAGCCCCCACCCTCAGGGCACTTTGGTAACGTGTTCTCCTCCTGAAATTGGTGATGGATTTGGAGAAGGAGCCTACCTGAGGAAGGGGCACTGATCTTAAGGAAGTCTCGTGGGTGGTGACTCTCAAGGAAGGCAGGCCTTTCCTTCGATGGACTTTGGTATATACGTACAGATGAGGCAAAATACTGAATAGCGCAGGAAGCTTGGAATACAGAACCACTGAACGAAGAAGAACTGGTTCATGCTCAAACATTTCAAAACGTACCACAGAATTCAGAACTGATCGTATTGAGGGGAGATGTCCAAGCTGCACTCGCTGAAGGCATTGGCGAAAAACAAGGCTCCAAGAATTCACAGATTCCAGTGAAAAGGTTTCGATAAACTGATGCTAGAGGGACTTAGTCATCTATGTGCCGCACTGTCTTGTAACCATGAGATGGGACCACACCCTACCCGAGCTGAGCACAGGGTGGAACGTTGATGCAGATCTGAATGGATGAACTCTCATCGCTGTCTCTGTTACTGTTAGGTGCTGTGGCTCCATGACTAAAACCGGCCTCAGAGGACTCCCTAGGTGGTCATTACAGGAGTGGGTCATTCGGTCTTTATCCCATGGAGCCGCTGGGTGGGTTAAAACGGACCTGGACTATGTTGTATGAGAGAATAAGGCCCTATTTGCTCTACTTGAGGCTTCAGACACTTGTAGCCCAAGCTCGTCTGACGCTGCCTCTCAATGCTGATGTCATACTAAAGTCCACCAGCATTTCCACTTGTCCCTCCAGAGCCAGTGGGCTTTCTGGGTGCCTTGGAGAAGGGCCAAGTCTCGCCCCCTCACCTAGACCTGTCTGTCCTTCATTCCTCTAATGGAGGGACTCTGGTCTTGCATGAGTAGTAATCTCTGGCAGCTCCCTGGGTCTGAAGACCTCACAACCTCTGTTTCCTCATTCCTACCCTTTCACACCCTGTGACACCAAATTCTAGTTGGAAATGACCCTTGCGCAGAAGTCTGAGGCCCTGCTCAGAATTGCTGCAGACGTCTCCTGCCCTCCTCACTCCCAGTCTTTTGTGGGTGGACAGATTCTGAAAGCTTCCGGAGCTTTTTCATCCTGAGACTGCCTCACGTTTCAGGGCACTGGGCAACGATGCCTGTCTGGAATCTCATCCATGCTGGGCCTTTGATGACGTAGTTTAGTCAGAAACGTCCTTCCGTCCTGGGAGGTGTAATTGTATTGTTTCTGATCATTTCCCCATCTGCTTTCTATTGGGTTACTTTTTGGAACTCCTGTTACTCAGGGTTTGCATGCTGGGTTGACCCTCTGAGTTCCTGCTTTCTTGCCTATTTTTCATCTCGTGAGCTTGTAGGTTTTGCTTTCTGGATGTGAACCTTGCCCCATCCTCCCTGGCAGCCTTTCCCCCAACTCTCTCCTTGTTTCTTGGAAATGCTGTCTCTTAAATCGCTGTGTGTTGTGTGTGTGTTTAGTTTTGGCATCTGCAAGTTTGAGGGTTTCCTGCAGAGACCACTGACACGAACCAGTAAGAGTGGGCTTTCCTGTCTCCCGGTTGACTTCCTATCCAAGGAAGCTGGGCAGTTCCTGCTGCTCACTGGGTTTCTCCAGGTGTGTCTAGGTCCGGACTGTGCAGCATCTCTGAAGAGGAACCCACCCGCCAGCAGCCTCTGTGTGCCTGTCCACTGGGTTTTCACACACAGCCTCTCCCTGATGCCCTGTCGGAACTGACGCTGTTCCATTTGCTGGAGAAACAGCCAGTGTGGCTGTAGAACCTTCCCGAAGGTGGGGAGCCTCTGCCTCAGCTTAGGAGGAGCTTTGACTAGTCCCCCATTTCCCACCCCAGTCCCAGTTATGGTAATGTGTGTGCAGTGGGGTCAGTTCCAACTTAGAGCGGCCCCACGTACACCACCCGGCCCTGCGCCGGCCTCACGGTGGTCTCTGCATCTGAGCTCAGTTTTATAGCCACTGTCAGCCCATGTCATTGAGGGTCTGCCTCAATCTTCAGGGACCCTCGACTTTACCAAGCATGATGATGTTCTTCTCCAGGGACCGGCCCTCCTGATGACACATTCTGAGTACATGAGACTAAGTCTCCTCAGCCTTACTTCCAAGGAGCCTTCGGACTGTACTTTTCCCAAGATCGATTTGTCTGTCTGGTAGTCCGTGGTACTTTCAGTATCCGTTGCCAATACTGTAACTCGGATACACAGATCCTTCTTTGGTTTTGCTGAGTTGTTGCCCAGTTTTCACATGCAGTTGAGGCCATTTAAAATACCATGATTTGGGTCAATGGCCTCTCTGCTTTTTAACACTGTGAAGAGGACAGTGGGGCAGCTTTGTCCAGTCGGGTGCCCATGAACAAGCGATAGACCCAGTTTCTGTTTGCTCACACAGATGTGCTGAGTTTGCATAGGGAAATCATGTAGGACTCCCTCTCCAGAACACCGGTGACAGAATTTCTAGCTTCCATAGGGAAGGACCCGGGTTCGGTTCCCAGGTGTTAGACCTCATATGCTGACACTATCTGTCAGTCTCTGGAAGTTTCTGTGTTCCCATGATGCTGAATGGACTCCTGATGTACCACTTAGGATAAGTGCTGGACTGTGTACTGCAAGGTCAGAGGTTCAAACCCACCAGTGGCTCCTTGGAAACCCAGTACAGGAAGGATTGCTGAGTTAGAACAGACTGGATGGCACTTAACAACAACAATGATACAGAACAGGCTTCTGGGGCACTTCCAAAGTAAGACAGACTAGGAGGAGAGATCTGGTGGTCGACTTCTTTTGAAAACCACCTAGTGGGTGCCCTGTCGGTCCAACGATCCTGTCTGCAGCTAATCAGGGCTGGCCCAGGCCACTTCTCTTAGTGCTTCTGG